TCCCTCATCTATCTCTATCTGGTAATTTTACCCATGTCTGTTCTTCATCAGATAATTGTTCTTAGATTCTTTGGAATCTGGATAATTCTCTGAAGCTTCAGTTTCTTATGGGATTGAATCTTCCTCTTTTCCTTAATGAACTTCTAGTGTTCTTCTTGAAAGGTGCACGAGCGGTTCTTTTTGAAACTAAGGAGGAAATTGCAATTCCAGGAGAGAAAGCAAGCTAACCAGAGAAGGGTATAATTTCTTTCCTTTTCTTAGATAGAACTCATAAACAAAGGTTTATTTACTGAGAAATTGAGATATCCACCCATTCTTTTTGTGAGTTTCCACATTGGTTGGGGTGGAGAATGGAGAACAGAAGTGGAAACCTCTTCCTAGCAGATGCCTTTAAAAACCTTAAAGGAAGCCCGAGAGGCAAAGTCCAAAGAGGACAATATCTGCTAGCGGTGGGCTTAGGCCGTTACATTTTTTTAATCCAATTGTTTCATTTTTATCTAAATCAAATGTGAGTTCTCTTCTACTTCAGGTTCTTACGGATTCTGAAACAGTCAGGTGGTTAAACCATGCGGTTGAAAAGATTTGGCCTATATGTATGGAGCATATTGCTTCTCAGAAGATTCTCCTCCCTATCATTCCTTGGTTCTTGGAGAAGTACAAACCATGGACTGCTGTATGATCCCAATCTGTTACTTTATATACCCGTTTATTTGATCGATACAATGAATTTGAGCAATTCAGTGTGTTTACAATATCAAACCTCCATGGATGCATTCAGAAAACTTGAGAGTTGCGAGAATATACCAGGACATGATTTCTTCTCATTGCTTGGTAATCATAATTTTACGTTGGTACAGATTTTTGATGACGAGTGTATGATTGCAGAAGAAGGCTGTGGTTCAGCATCTATATTTGGGGAGAAACCCGCCTATGTTTACTGAAATGAGGGTGCTTCGTGAGCCTAGCGAGGACGACCATTTGGTAGGCATTTCATACACATAATTGCACGTTACGCACACGCGTGCGCATATATTGTCTTATTCAGTTTTGAGTTTAATCAGATTGGAAGGAATTAATCACAGGTACTGGAGTTAGGAATGAACTTTCTTACAGCTGATGACATGAGTGCAATACTTGGTGTGAAGCTAAGGAAAAGACTAGGATTTGGAATGTGGGCAAAGTTGCATCTTACAGGCCTGCATGTGGAAGGAAAGGTACCCAAATTGTTGTGATGTCTGTAATGGTGTAGTTCGGGATGCTATTTGTGAGTCGAAAAGTAGAAGCGTTCAAATTCTGCATGTGTGATCTTTGATATCGTGAGTCGAAAAGTAGAAGAGTTCAAGTGCTGATTTCTTTTTTCAGTTTCCATGTCTGTATAATTGTGTTCTTTCCTTCTAAGAATTCTGTTCTACATATTGATTTGCGTTATTTGCATGTTCCTTCTAATAATCACACTTCATGTTCCCTCTCAAGGTTCTGGTTGGTGTTAAGTTCCTTCGGGATTGGCCCTACCTCGGCCGAATACGGTTATGTTTTGCTGAGCCTCCGTACTTTCAGATGACCGTCAAACCTATCTTTACGCATGGTCTTGATGTTACTGAACTTCCAGGGATTGCTGGATGGCTGGTATTATACTTCATTTACTTTTTCTTTGGTTTCCCTCAGGTTCTCTTCATGCTGGCTAAACTTCGCTTTACTGCTTGCATCGTCTTATTCTCGGGCTAAGTACTGTCGTTTGTCTTTTTTGGTTTCGTTTTATCAGGATAAGCTTTTGTCCATTGCCTTTGAGCAGACACTTGTTGAGGTTAAGTTCTAGGTTTTGATTCTTGATGCCACCTTTAGTCTTACTTTGTTCATTTCATTCATTTTGTAATAAAGAAAATTGTGAAGGCCCTTATCAAATTGTGTACAATTATGTTCAGATTTACTGTTATTACAGATGTTTTTCAACAATGTTTACCTAAGTTTTGAATTTTCTTAATCTTTTCAGCCCAATATGTTGGTTGTTGACATGGAGAAGTTCATTTCACCACAGCCAGGTACTTCATTTTTTGAAGAATAGTCAATCACAACCTATCGAATAGAAACAATGCTATCTCTGCACATGCCTTCATGCTTATTTTAGTTTTTTCTTATTATCATGTCAAGCAGAGTGCTTAAAAAAAGTTACAGCCTTGTGCTGTGATGAGGATACTTCGTGTAATTCTCCTTTTCTGAAATGGTTGAAACGCTTTGATGCGGATGTCACATGGTTTACATAGCTAGCTTGCAACGATTCATATTGATAATTGATTGCAGTATTGAACGTTGATCACCTGCCAATAACCTGTTGTCAATGTGGGTGTGAGATCCCATTCCACCTCAGTTGGAGAGGGAAACGAAACATTCCTTATATAGGTGTAGAAACCTCTCCTTAGTAGATGCATTTTAAAGCCTTGAGGAGAAGCCATTAAAGGAAATGCCCAAAGAAAACAATATCTGTTGGAGGTGGGCTTGGACGGTTAGAGTGAGAAATATGTTCTAACTAAGCTTGTTAGAGTGAGAAATATGATCTAACTAAGCTTTTATGGTTCTCAAAAATTTCTGTCTACAGAGGTAGGGGCTATGTGTAATTTGTTTGAAGAATTTCTACGAAGATGGTTAAGTTCCGTTCTCAATATGCATAATCTTATTATACATGATGTTTGTTAGTTTTCGAAAACAAAACGTTCTCAAGTGAATACATATTTTTTTTTTGATGTTGATGGATCTTTCTACTTGTCCATGACCTTATATTTCCAGAAAATTGGTTCTCCGTAAACGTGAAGGAACCAATCGCCTATGTCATAGTCGAAGTTGTTGAAGGAGCAAACATGAAACCATCTGATCTAAATGGTTCGGTGCTTCCAAGTCATTCTTCCCCTCATGATTTTCTTACATGACTGGTGAATTTGGCTTACAATTGAAGCTTTCTTTCAGGTCTGGCTGATCCGTATGTAAAAGGTCAACTGGGTCCTTACAGATTCAGAACCAAAATTCAAAGGAAAACACTGTCTCCACAGTGGCACGAGGAGTTCAAGATCCCAATTGTCACCTGGGAGTCAGAAAATGTGCTTGCTATTGAAGTCCGTGACAAGGACACGTTTGTCGACGACATACTTGGGTCTGTCTTCAAATTTGTAACTTCTATGATATATTCGATTCGTTGCAAAATTTGATCTCGACACCAGAGCTTAAACGAGATCTAATATTCTATTTGCAGAAATTGCTCTGTCAACATTGCGGACCTGAGGGATGGTAAACGACATGATATATGGTTGCCTCTTGAAAACATTAAAATGGGGCGATTGCATCTGGGAATCACTGTTTTTGAAGATAGAAAGAAGGTCCCTTCCCTTCCCTTCCCTTCCATGTTTCATTTTCTCTTGTCCCCTGCCGGTGTTAATAAGCCGAGGTTGTGTTGCCTAAGCAAGGGTCCTTCAAATTTAGTTTTATTGGAAAATGGTTGCTTTCTTTTATTGATTTGTAATACTACTTTAGGTGGAAGAGTATCCATTTCAAAGAGAAACCTTGAATGTGGAAGAGCCTCATAAGGATTCCCCTAGGAGTGAGACTACCAAGGATGATAAGGATTCCCCTAGGAGCGAGACCAAGAACGGTAAGGATTCGAACTCGTCAGTATTAGTGGAGCCTCGAAGAGGGATCGACAATTTTGAGCCCATCAACGTTGAAGGGCAGAAGGAGACAGGAATATGGGTCCACCGTCCAGGAATCGAAGTTTCAAAAACTTGGGAGCCTCGGAAGGGACGAAGTCGGCAGCTTGATACCGAAATCCGTAGGGAGCCTAATGAATCTATGAGCAGTGGTGAGATAAAATCCTGTAACAATGATTCTAGCAGTACTGATGATAATCCTGAGGAAAAACATCGAAAGTTATCAGTTCGCAGGGGACTGAGAAAGCTGAGTTCAGTTTTTCACCGGAGTCCTCGGGATGAGGATCGATCAGGAAGTTTAGTAGAGTCTGCTAGATCCCCCCAGTATGCAAATGTTAGGGCGACAAATGTCGATGGAGGCGTGAAGGTTATTCTTGTAAATAACGTTTCCGGGACTACTTCGGATAAAGTATCAAAAGAAGGGAAGTCGAGCAACGACGGTAGTGATATAGAGAGTCCAGGAAGGGGTGGAAATGTGAAAGGCATGGCAAAGAGCATTTTCAGACAGGCTGAGAAATCTGCTCGCAGTATTAAACATGCATTTTCACGCAAAGGGTCAAGGAAATTCCAAATTGGTTCACCGAGAGATCCTGCAGTAGAATCAGAGTCTTCTGATGATGAACCTGACGCACCAGCTGCTTGCAGCCCAACGACAATTAGAGGAATTCCAGTTATCCCTGAAGACACAACCTTAGCTCCTCAGAACAACAATTCCTTTAAGAAGGAAGATGTGCTGCCCACTGGTTCAAGTAACAGTGTGGAGTACAGTGATCAATCATCAGATAAGAGCACTGCAGCGCTTCGCTCGGAAAAGATCGAAGATGACAAGGACGATAAACATGGAATCAACGGTGACAAATGATTCAAACTTCAAAAACCTTTACTCAGTGAAACAAAGTTCAGGAGATGGCAGACAGTTGAAAAATGGTAAGAGTTTGTAGGTAAAAGGATGTGAAAAACTTGTAGAAGTTTGAGAATTTGTAAACAGAATTCCTGTAAAGTGATGTTGTTACCCGTAAACATGCAATGTTTATAGAAATTAAGAAGCTATTTGTGCAGTGGTCTGCCACCAGAAAATAACTCAATCTCTCTTGAATTTGATTCGACGGGAACATTCGGCGTCTCAGCTGCAACAAGCATTCGGTCGAGACTGGCAGCGAGGATGTGTTAAGAAACTTTCAACTCATTTGCTCGTCAGTATTAGCAGCTAAGTTGGGAAGTGTTGATGAACTTGTGTCCATAACATTACCCGATTCTTCAATCTTGTACTCGTGTTCGTTTCAGTTTATCAGTTGTCAAACGGCTTGATTTTCAGTTATACCGAGATGAACATCATTGCATCACAATTTTTCGATTACTTTACCAGTGGCATCACTGTAATCTTCATTTCCTGCTAACGTACAGCGTAAAATCGCTTTCCACATCTCCATTTTCGGGATGAAACCTTGCATAACCATCTGCTTTAGAACCCAATCAACATCCTCAGTCAAGTTCTTCTTGCATAACCCAGACAACAATTTCTTATAAGAAACAAAGCTTGGGTCCATACCATCCAAAATCATCCGACGCATACAATCCTTTGCCTCGATCAACCTACCCGAGTCGAGCAGGCCATACAAAACCTCTTGATAAGTCCCTGCATTGGGGTAGCAGCCTTTAAGCTTCATTCTCTCCAAAAGTTCTATGGCCTCTTCAATCCTCTTCTGCTTTCTAAGACCCGAAATCAATATGTTAAACGTTATAGTATCTGGACAAACACCTTCGTTTTCCATTTTAGAGAAAAGCTCAGATGCTCTCTCTAGTTCACCATTGTCACACAATGCATGCATAAGCGTTGAGAATGTTCTTACATTTGGCCTACACTTTTGTTGAGGAAATTCATCGAACACCTTGAGTGCAGCATTGAAATTCCCACTCTCACACAACCCTTTGATGAGTATATTAAGACAACAAGCATCAATCTCAATCCCCAACTTAGGAGCACCCATATACACCTCATGAACAACGTCAAACATCTTCGCCGAAACAAGCAAATTAAGCACAAAATTAAAGGTTTTAACACTCGGCCAGCAGTTATAATTAGGCATATCGAAAAGGGTTTCAATCGCTTTACCTATACGCCCAGCAACATTGCCATAAATCTTGATAACATGGTAGAAAAACTCATCGGACAACCGAAAATTCCTCTCGGCTTTTATTCTCAGCATCACTGTTTCAATATCATCAAACAAACACCCCTCCGCAAGCCTGGACACAACCAGAGTGTAGATTTCTTTGTTGGGTTTGTAGTCCTTGCGATTGGACCATTGGTGGATGAACGCGAGCACAGCGGGAGGATCCCTGATTTGTTGGATGATTTTGATGACTTCATTGGGAGACAACCAATCTCTATGGCTAAGCCTGTGCGGAAAAGCAGAGGGTTGTTTAGGGGAAGTGGAGAAAGAGAATGAAGAAAAAGGAAGACGAAGAGGAATCGAAGAAGATGATGAAGAAAAGATGGAGTTCAGCACAGAGAGTTGAGCGAATCGTTGTGAAGGTAAAACCATTGGAAGAGAGAAAGGGAAACGGTGAAGGAAATGCCTCGGAATTGCTCCCAGTGAAAGTAATTTATTTAAAATTGAAGAGGGCCCCACGGCTAGGTTACCATAGATCTAGAAGAAAGGTAACCGGATTCTGTACAGCGGCAGAGGTTCCTCCGCCCATCTCGGTGGCGGTATTGAAGAAATCCGCGGGAATGGCGGTTCGTTTGACGTCGGCTTGGGGTAAAGGCGACGGCGGCCGTCTCTGTTTGGGCTACGAGAACCCTGTCTTTATACCCACTTTGAATCCTCGCTTAGAGGGTGTTCGTTGCATTGCTCTTGGGGGTCTGCTTTCCGCTGCGCTCAACTCGCTTCACCTGGTCAGTATCTCAACTTACTATTGAAGCCCTTTGTTTCTTGTCTGTTCTATACTTGATTCACTTATATTAGCTTGAAGGGGGACTCTGTTTTATGATTATTGCTCCTAATGGGACGATCTAAGAGTGTAGAAGAAGCACATTCTTGGAGGATGTATAGAGTAAGGTGATCGTTTTAGTGATATCATTACGTACATAGTACACAGAAGATTAGGTGTAACAGCCCAAACCCACCGCTAGTACATATGGTCCTCTTTAGGCTTTTCCATTCAGGCTTTCCCGCAAGGTTTTTAAAACGCGTTTACTAAAGGGAGGTTGTTCTCCTTCACAACCGGTGTGAGATCTCACAATCCACCCCTTATTGAGATCCAATGTGATATCCCGCATCGGTTGGGGAGGAGAACGAAACACCCTTTATAAGAGTATGGAAACCTTTCCTTAACAGACGGGAAGCCCAAAAGGAAAATTCTAAAGAGGACAATATCTACTAGCGGTGGGCTTGTGCACATCCAGTGTTATCGTTGGCACACATTCTCCTCTCCAATCGACTCATTCCCCAATTGCTTGAAACGTGGTGGGCATCCCATATGTCAAAGATAAATCCTACATCTACATGCAGGGTCTTACAGCAAGAACAATCTGAGCCAGTTAGCTCATTTTACTTTGTAATGTTCTTTGGTCGGGCTTAAAATTATAAGATCTTGTTTGAATCTTCCATGCTGCTAGGCTTCGGGCCATTGGGATGTAGGTTTGGCCTGTGGTGGTTCCTCTTCAACGCAGCTATTACAGGTAGCCATCGATCATCTACTTCTATTATGCATGTAGACTTTAATAGCGAATTATTTAGGTGCTCTTCTACATTTTGCTGTCGTTTTCTTCTGCCAGTTAGCAGGAAGTTCAAGTCACTTTCACAGTTTAATCATCTTTTCATTCAGAATTTAGAATTTGAAATGATGATTAACTTGTTTGGTAAAATTCTTGCCTTTGCATCACTCTACCTTCATTTCTTTAAACATGTCTCTAAAAGACATTGATAAGTTGCCTATGGATTATGATAGCTGAGAGTAAATTGTTCATGTGGAGAAATGCTATGAATTCTCGATTGGAGAGGAGAATGAAACATTCTTTATAAGGGTATAGAAACATCTCCCTAACAGATCCATCTTAAAACCGTGAGGCCGATGACAATACGTATGAGCCAAAATAGACAATATCTGCTAGCGGAGGGTTTGGGCTGTTACAAATGATATCAAAGGCAGACACTGAGTGGTGTGTCAATGAGGACACTGAATCCCCAAGGGGGTGATCTCACATCAGTTAGAGAGGAGAACGAAACATTCCTTATAAGGGTGTGAAAACCTCTCCCTAACAGACGTGTTTTAGAACTATAAAGTTGATGGCGATATGTTCTTCACTTTCACTCACTTAGGAGTCCAACTCAAATCTTCCTAACATGAGAGAGATCCTCGAGAAAATGCATAAATCCTCGAGAATCATGCCACCAACCAAATCTTTCACCTGACCAAAGTAGAAAAATACTCAAATTCTCATTGAACAATGTGCATTCTACATTATTGCCATCATTTTACGTTTTACATTTGAAGTTAAAACATGATACATTTCTATTCATGGAGGTTTCTTTGGAATGTCTTCTCATAATTTGACTCTTTCAATTATTTGATGAAGATTGCAGTGTTTAGTTTTGTAGGCTTCCCCAACATGTGGTTCCATGGCTAGAGGCACACCAAGGGGGCATCATGGGGGTAAGCTTTCGAGGCAGACAGGTCAGTGTGGTCCTCTTGATTGTTTATTCAGCAACCAAAAAGGCTACAAAAAGTGCACATCTTTCGTAGATTCAAAGATGTAGACCAAACCTTGTGAGATAGAGATCAGAAGCACAAACACTGAGGGAGAATGAGGAATAAGATTGTGCTTAAAGAAACAACTTTTAGGATTGGTGTCAGTGAGTGAGTGGGTGGGTAAGGCCAAGGCCTTTTTATGTGCATCAAAAGCTAAGTGGGATGGTCATTTGTTGAAGCTCTCATGGGTCTGCATTTCCTGCCTTATCTGTTTCTCACTTTCATTATTTTGTGCGTTTCAAGTATTACCTGGATTTCTGTGTTGCAGTGTCTTCTCTCTTTACATTCCTTGTGTCCCTACCATGCAATGCTATTATCCCTTTCCTTGTCGGGTGTGGTTAGTGTAACAGCTCAAGCCTACCGTTAGTAAATATTGTACTCTTTGGGCTTTTCCTTCTGGGCTTCTCTTTGAACTTTTTAAAACGTGTCGGTTAGGGAGAGTGTTTCCAAGCCCACCGCTAACAGATAATGTCTTTTTTGGATTTTTCCTTTCGAGCTTTCCCTCAAGGTTTTTAAAACGCATCTACTAAGGAGAGATTTCCAAGCCCATCGCTAGCCGATATTGTCCTATTTAGGCTTTTCCTTCTGGACTTCTCCTTAAGGTTTTTAAAACTTGTCTGCTAGGGAGAGGTTTTCAAGCCCACCGCTAACCGATATTGTCCTACTTAGGCTTTTCCTTATGGACTTCTCCTTAAGGTTTTTAAGACGTGTCTGCTAGGGAGAGGCTTTCAAGCCCACTGTTAGCAGATATTGTCTTATTTGGACTTTTCCTTCCGAACTTCCCTTAAAGGTTTTAAAATGTGTATGTTAGGGAGAGGTTTCCAAATCCACCGCTAGCAGATATTGTCCTATTTGGGCTTTCCCTTCTAGACTTCTCCATAAAGTTTTTAAAGCGCGTCTGCTAAGGAGAGATTTCCACACCTTTATAAAAAATGTTTCGTTCCCTTCTCCAACTGATGTGGGATCTCACAAAACTCAAATACGAGTGCAGCTAGCTAGATGGATGATGAGGAAGGCTGGCTTTGTTATTTAAATCCTTGTCTAATGCCAATACACAGTTTGTTTTGTTTGTTTGTGATTCTTTAACTCCTTATATGCCTTTATGTAGTTTGTTTCCTTCGATGTCTCTCTTTCCTCAATAATGGTCCTTGGATCCTTTTGATGTTCTACATTGCCCTTCCATGACATTATTGAATGCTACACAATTATTTAGTTTGCTTATTATTATCAGAACATGGGAACATCAGGTGCAGACACCAAATCTTGGCCATCCATTGCACATAAAAGAGAGAGAGTCTCACAAAGCATAGCCTAAAAATGAAACTTATACTAACAATGCCCTGTTTGTCTGTGTAGAGCGTAGGCGGAAGGGAAAGGGAAAGAGGCAACGGTACAAAAGAGCGGACAGGTATTGGTGGTGGCGACGGCAGCGTCGGTTGGGTGCGTGACAAACTTCCCCTCTTTTATTGCACTTTTGTCTCTTTCTTTCTCACACTTCTCTTCTCATCTCCATTTATTCATTCCCTCTCTCTCTTTTACTTTTCCATTTTTCCAAAATAGGTAATCTCATCCACTAAGGTAGGCTCGAACATCTGACTTTATTGGTAGAACTCCAACGAAAAAAGAACAAACATTCATCAAGGTCATTCAAAAACGAAATGAAGAGAGGGAGATGACAATTGTATGATTTGTGATGCTCACTAAGTCTTCAGACTTTTGATGTTGTATTTGATAAATTTTGTATTCGCTAATTCCAATACAGTTCAATGGATAAGTCTCAAAAGTTGATAATTTAAGGTTCATCGAGGTTGTAATTTGATTGCTATACTTCAAAAGCTTGACTTTGAAGTTAAAGAACTCCCATGGTTCGTCTGATCTGAACCGACAAAATAAACTGTTCATCTTCATTTGATTCAATATAACGAAACAATTACATATGATCCCACTTGAAAAAGAAAATCACCATAACCCAGAAAGCCCAAAAGAAAAAGGAAAAAAAAAAGCAAAATTTCTGTATTCTATAATCTGTTGTAGCTACATTCATGGACTTTTTAGCTGAGGACACTGCCATGGCGGCCTAGACAGTGGCGCGCCGGCGCTGGCAGGGCAAGACTGGACGGTCACCGGCGGATCCATGCAATTATAAGACAAACAAAGCGCAGCCGTGTCCGGCAATACGGTACCGGGTTCCAGTGGAAACTCGGATATGAAATTGTGCTGTAAATATAGAGTGGTGGTGCTGCCGCTGCTGACGCTGTTCACGTACTCCGCCGGCACCGGTCCGGTGAAGCGGTTGTTGTTCAGGAACAGCGTCTCGGCGCCGGCGAAAATTGCCGGCATCTCTCCGGTCAGATTGTTGTGGCTCAAATCGACGACGGATCCGGCGCCAAACATCACCGAGCTTGTGGAATCGGACGACGGCGGCGGGACCACTCCGGAGAAAGAGTTCCGTTGGAGGAGGAGAGAGGAGAGAGAAGGGTGTGAGAAGAGAGAGAAAGGGATGGGCCCATTGAATCGGTTCACGCTCAAGTCGAGATACACTAATTCCGATAGAGAATCAAGTCCGTTGCGAAGAGGGCCCCACAGCGAGTTCTCTGAAAGCGACAGGTACCGGATAGACGACGGCAACGCCGGGAGAGTACCGTTTAATTTGTTGGATTTCAAGTCCAGGTGGAGGAGAGGTGACGAAATGTCGACAGGGATTTCGCCGGAGAATTGGTTCGACGACAGAATCAGGATTTTGAGTTCGGGGAGCTTAGTGAGCGTCGCCGGAATAATTCCGGAGAGCTGGTTATGGCTGATGTCAAGAGTGTGGAGGTGGAGGAGAGCGAAGAGGGTGGCTGGAATCTCACCGGTGAGACGATTGTTAGTCAAAGAGAGGACACGGAGGTTTCGAAGACGACCCAGTTGCGGTGGGATCGGACCAGTGACAATGCCAGGGAAGAGGATGAGTTGGGTGAGCTCAGAGAGGTCGGAAATGGCGGGCGGGAGGGAGCCGGCAAGTCCAGGCGAGTCGTAGCGGCCGGTGCCAAGGGAGAGAATTGTGACTCTGCCGAGATCGCAGACGACGCCGGTGAATGAACAGGGATCTGAGGAAGAGAAGTCCCAGGTGGAGAAGAATCCAGCACCGGAAGGGCTCCGACGGAGGGGGATATCGGTGAGACTGTTTCTAATGGCCTTTAGAGCTTGGAGGTCGGCGGCGGCGATGTTGGCCTGGAATTGAAGGGAAAGAGGAGAGAGAGAAAGGAGGAGGAGGAGGAGGAAAGAGAGAGAAAAGGGAGTGTCGGCCATTGGAGCAGAGGAAGAAGGATTTGGGAACGGGGGAGAGATTTTGAGAGAGAGAGAGAGAGAGAGGATTTGAAATGTTTGTATGTATATATTAGAAGTGTGGTATTTGAACCAAAAGAAATGAGTAGTTTATATGAACATCAGGTCCACTATGGGCTATGCCTATATACAAATAAAACACACGAACTAAAGTTGTGAAAGAGATATCACTTATCACTTACACTTCATTTCTTTGCCTCTTCCACCTATTAGGAGTGAGAATGAGAGCACCCTCGACCAACTAGGGATCGTTCGATAAGGCTCCAAGACTCCACCACCACAATGTGACTGACAGTTTTTTATAAGACAAAAGTATCTCTTATATTCCTAAATCCATAAATGACATAGGAACACCAATACAAGATAATCTCTAATCCATAATTCATTCAGGAAACTAGATCTTATCTATTATACAAATGATTTTATTGTTAAAATCATGTTTCCATTAAAGAATTTCCTATTCTTAAAAAAAAATGAAATTATTTTTGTGAGATCACATAATGGTTGGAGAGGAGAACGAAACATTCGTTAAGGGTGTGAAAACCTTTCCTCAGCGTATGTGTTTTAAAACTTTTAGGGGATGTTAAGGGTGTGAAAACTTTTCCTTAGTATATATGTTTTAAAACTTTTAGGGGATGGTCTTTGAAGGGAAAGCACAAAGAGGACCATATATACTAGCTATGGGTTTAAGCTATTACAAATGATGCCAGACACTAGTCTCCCAAAGGGGAAGATTATGAGATCTCACATTGGTTGGAGAGGGAAACAAAATATTTGTAATAAGGGTGTAGAAACCTCTCCATAGTAGACGCGCTTCAAAACCTTGAGGAAAAATCTTTGAAGTTACAATTTTCTTTCTTTCAAGAATTCATTTATGCATATATCAACAAATGGTTTGTCGCCCAAAGCTTTTCAAAGTGTAAGATAAAACTATAGATCTTTAGAACAGACTAATAAATAGAAAAACAATAGTAGTGGACTTTAATTAGCCAACAATGCACTCGAAACTGACACAAAATAATGTATTCATGACTTCAAATAGAAAAGTGGTTTCTAATGTATAACAATATTTAAAAAGCATGGTAACAATTAAATAAAGCAGAGTGATACAAGACTGTAGGCATGTAATGACAAAGATCCGAGTGGATCTTCCATAGAAAAGGAAGATCTGTTGAGGGAAGCTGGTATTTGCAAATATGTTAATCAAAACAAAGTTGTCAGACAAATCAATAGACATAGAACATTGGCAACGCACAAGGATAAATAAAGACAAAAGGAGGCATAAACCTTGACAGCACAGTGCCATAGGCTACTGCACATGGCTGCAAGCATGGGTACATATCATTTATAATTTACATATGATATCCGTGAAGTTTTCTTTTCTCCCTTTTTAATCTAAATTTAGTTACCCTTTTCATATCAACAAACAAACAGCGAGTACGACCAAAGTTCTACATTCATTTCTAGTGGCTAAACAATTATCTAGAATGCAAACAAGCATGATATGATAAGGTTGAGACAGTTTGTGTAGTTTCTAGGAGTATACTATCAAAATCTCACCTCAAATTGATGCACAAGAACAATAGTTATGTTTAGATCAGTTATCTTAGATCCAAAACAAACAATATCATATTGAAACAGAGATGCAAACCGGCATGTTAAAATATGCTCCACTAATTTATATATTCAGAAACATTTGTTAAAGATCAGCACTAGTTTTTTCATACCTGAGATCAGAGTGTAATGGATGAATGTGTTGGTAGTGTAGATCCCACGGTTGGCCTCATCATGCTCTGACTGAGATGCAAATGGGCAGAGACTTGCATGTGGAAAACTTTGGAGGTTTTTGCCATCTGGAACTGAAACAATGAAATCTCAGTTATTTAATTATAGAACAGAGTAGAAATCAGCAATCCCACAGAAAATGTAATGCTTCAGTTTTGGAATTTCAATCATACTAGATTTACAATGAGAAGGAAATAATCCAACTGCTCTCTCATACCTTGAATTGCCATTCTCTGTGGCATACATAAGGCAGTGAGCCTGAGAGAATTTACCTTTATACTCCTGTCGTTCTCTTTTTCTAGGTCAAGGAGGGACTGTGACCGCTTTTGTGAGGTCCTACATCGGTTGGAGAGAAGAAGGAAGCATTTGTTGTAAGGGGTGGAAACCTCTCCTTAGTAAAAACATTTAAAAAACCTTGAGGGAAACCCGAAAGGACAAGTCCAAAGAGGACAATATCTGCTAACGGTAGGCTTGGACTATTACAACTTCCCTCTCTATAAGAGAAAAGGAGGCTCAAGCCATTGAACAAAGGGCAAAGGGTAAGGACCACCATAGGTGTATCAGTAATCTAAATGACAGTATATTTCATGTAAGGATAAGGCCAATTTTAGGTGTTATCAAATAAAAAGGAACAAATAATTGCAATGTAATAACATGACTTGATAGTAGCACACAGTAAAGTGAATGACCGGTGTTTCTAACAGGGTTACATATAAACTTCATAAAGTGCAACTTAAAGATAAACTCAACAACCTAACAACACATCCAAACACCAGTGGTCACTTCAAGTCATATGAAGATCATGAAATATGCCAGACCAAACACGACGAAGTAATTCAACATCTAAGACATGTTTAGGAAGCCTCAGCAGCCGGTTGAGTCAAACCAGACTTCACCAATAACTTGCTCACCGACTCGGGTGAGCAAACTTGATACTTGACATTTCCAGAAGGTGAAAGGAAAACCTCAGCCAATTCAAGCTTATCTGAAGTAAGACTTGTGCTGTCCATGGTTTTGCTAAGCACCTTTAGCGCAAGCTGGATGGCCTCTTCCCTAGTGATGTCATCCTTGTAGTCCTGTTTTAGCATCGACTGTGCTGCCTGATTGTTTGCACCAATTGCAGCAGCCTTCCAACCACCATAGTTTCCACTCGGGTCGCTCATGTATAATTGAAAGCCATAATTTTTATCCCATCCTGCAAACAGAAAAGAAACACCAAAGGGACGTAAACCACCAAACTGAGTGTAGCCTTGCTTTGTATCACAAAGGGATTGAACCAGTTGCTCAACAGGCATCGGCTCTTGGTAAGCGTAAGTATATCGCTGGGCTTGAACTCTTGCAGTGTTGATTAATATGTTTGCATCAGACATTATCCCAGCCACAGCACATGCAACATGATCATCAATTTTGTACATCTTCTCCGTCGAAGTTGAGGTCTGCAGGAGTTTGGAGGTGACCTTCTTTTCACCTACCAAAACAACTCCATCTTTAGACAATATCCCAAT